GTCACCATGTGTCAAACTTTATTTTATTTGTAAAAAAATATAGATTTAAATCGTGTCTTTGTGACAGGCTGCTGGTATAAGGAGTCTAAACTAAAAGATCCACCCGTCCATCATCTGCCGTTGTTCTCATGTGCCAGTTCTTGCACTACTGAAATACTGAAACTTTTATATTTGTTAATTGGCCATATGTGACTTATTTGTTTTATTTTATATTCTGTAATGTTCTTTATACAGAAAGGAAGGTTAAACAACTTTTTCAGGAAATAAAAGGACTTCATTTTAAAAAATTGCATTTTTATATTATGTTATTACATTTGGCCCATGGCCCTCTGATAGATTTTAATTTTGGCCCATTCTGGCAAAAACTTTGGGCACCCCTGCCCTAACGGATTATACCTGCCATCTGCTTTACCAGTAACGACTCACGCCTTGCTTCTTGGACTCCTGCTCTTTGCCTCACCCCTGATCAGTACCTCCAGCTATCTGACCACCTGGATCTCGACCCACGCCTGTACCACGGATTATCAGAACTTGCCTTTTGGGCCCAAACACTCCAACCAAACTAACGGTGACGTCACCGCACCGTGCTGGAACGCAAACCCTTCCATCAAATTTTCCGTCTGGAGTCCTTCAATTGGAAACAGGTTAGTGGCTTTAATTCTTTGGAAAGTCCTCCTATATTGTTCTCCCACTAATCTGAAATTCCTGTGTTTAAATCTGATGAGAATCCAGTCCAAGCACTTCCTGGCTCATTCACCTCTGCACAATAAACTTTGTAAAACTTTGTCTTGGTCCGGTGCTTATTCAGAACTCAAAACTCTGTTCTTATCAGTTTTGGAGAGCGTTTTTGATATATACAGAACTATTGTCAAAACTATCTGTTGCTTGTCTTTTCCTTTTGCTCTTGTAGGGACATGTTCATGATGGTGGTGAGACGCAAACAAAAGGTACTGACCTGTGTGAGTTGGTTTTCAGTAAACCTCAGTGTTCGAGCTATGTTTTTTTTTTTTTTTTTTTACATTTGGCGGGACTCTACAAAAAAGGTCAAACAGTTGCATTCTGGATGAGATGACCGCCATGATGTTGCTTGTTTGAGAGAAATGTTCAGTATGGGCAAAATAAACTATTTAAAGAAGGTCTATCTCTACGTGTTTAAGGGGATGTGTGCATTTCTTGGGTAAAAATGGAGGAAAATGTGATTTGTTTGTGTGTGGGATGGTCTGAAAGGTCAATCTTTCAGTCCCTGTTCATAAAAGTGTCTCTTTAGAGGAAAATAGCAAAGGTTGTTAATCAATAGCACATCAGATTGGTTTAACAAGTCTGCTGTGAGTCTGGAATATCATCGCCATTTTGATTACCCCAATGATTAATTAAAAGTCATGTATGCTGCAATCAAACTGAGCTTAATCAATACAGAATGTTCTGGCTGTGCCAAGCTCATCTTTCATAAAATATATCAAACCCAAACTTTTGCTGCACTCCATTCCCGCTGCTGCAGGTACACATCAACATGCATTCATTAAGAATCTGTCATTTTATACTGCACCATCAGTTGCTGGCTGCACTTTATTCTCTCTCATAAATAAACTTAACAACACATTAAATTACAAATATTAGCTGATATGTACAAAAATATATTTATATTAACTGATTTCACCTCATCTGCAAGCAACGAATTAAAGGATAAAATGAGTCAGCTTGATATGCTAACACATAAACCAGGAGAAAAGTGCAAAACACCAATGAGTGATTTATATTCTCGTGGCCTCAGACAGTGGACTTGTTTTTATACTTGTCCTTTAAGATCCCAGTGTTGCATTTGATAAAATCAATCCTGATAGTCTATAAAAGTCTTGTCACACTATAACATTTTAGAAAACTTATGAACATTTATTTATGACTACTTTACTAATTTCTCCTATATATTCATGCTATATATTCAATCTTATTGTTGGCATTATAGTATGCATAGGTACAAAAGAGAATTTCAGTAGATTTTTTTTAAAATTCCATCTTCAGCTTCGACATCTTTAGTGTTGGACAAACGTTTTACAGTTGGCATAAGTTGTCTAAAATGTTATAGTGTGGCAGGGCCTTTAAAGAGGCTTGATCGTGATATTAAAGTCACGTGCATTTCAAATTCATCAAACAAAATAAACTTTATTTTTTCAGAAGACTACAATAAATGTTAGTATTTGTCAGACTGTAAGTGAACAACTGTCCAAGGATAGTGAATGTGCAGCAACTAACATACATTATTTCAAGTCAAAACTAGTAAGAAAACTACTGTAGGTCAGTTCAGTTATGAAAGGTGACCTCAGGTTTTGAGGTCATGTCAGGAAAACGATCATCCAGGCCACAGTCACATGACTTTTCGTATGATTTTGTATGTGCAAAGTTAAAACATTTCTTTGTTATAATTCAGTATAAAAAAAACTGATATTTCTAACTGAAAATTGTAAAACCTCCGATGATTTTTAGTGATATGTGTTGAAATGCAACTTTTTCTTGGAATGCCTTTGACTGCACAGATGTTTCAAATGAACTGACTTTAAAAAGTAGTTGAATGATGAATATTGCCTCCTTTTATGAAGATCTATGGTGTTTGTGGTAAATCATTGGTCACGTCAGATGAATAAATTGCATAGAAGAAAAGCTGACTAAAACACAAGATGCTGCTCTGGAAAATGTTTGTGCTGTAAGCTGTAATTTTGATGGACTTCAACAATGGATTTGCTGACAGTGGTTGGCAACTTGCTGTGTCTGCACTCTTAAAGGAAGAAATCAAGTGAATTGTCATGCATCTTTTTCAATGTAGTTTGCAGAACATGAAGGATGCATTTGTTGTTGATATTAAGAACAATGTTGTCTACGTCCAGAAGCTTGGAAGAACATTTCTAAATCTATCATCTTGTACCCCCCTTCCCCTCCCCAAAAAAATACATTTTATTGGAACTATACATAGCAAAAATAAAAAAACAGATGTTCTGTTTGACCTAAGAGAATTGAAATCTGACCGCAAAGATCTGTTATCTTTGTGTGTGTGTGTGTGTGTGTGTGTGTGTGTGTGTGTGTGTGTGTGTGTGTGTGTGTGTGTGTGTGTGTGTGTGTGTGTGTGTGTGTGAATTTGTTACTTTTTTTAGGACTGTTACTGGTATACACACCTACCTTGTCAGGACCAGTAGTTCTTATGGAGGACCAAAGACCGGTCTTAATACTGAGGAAATCTGTGGACAGATTTGTGGCTTCATTGGATCTGCTGCAGTTTGTCTACCAGCCTGGCATCGGGCTGGATGATGCCATCACCTACCTCCTGCACCGAGCTCTAACTCACCTGGAGAAGCCTGGAAGCACTGTGAGGATCATGTTCTTTGATTTCTCCAGTGCTTTCAACACCATGAAACACAAGGGCAGCTGTGGTGGAGTGTTTAGGAGAGTCGTTCTGGAACCGGAAGGTCACTGGTTCAAATCCCCGACCAGCCAATCCAGTCGTTGTGTCCTTTGGCAGGACACTTAACCCACCTTGCCTACTGATGGTGGTCAGAGGCACTGGTGCATGGCCCCGCCTCTGTCAGTGGGCCCCAGGGCAGCTGTGGCTGTAGCTTACTACTATCAGTGTATGACTGTGTGTGTGAATGTCTGAAGTGTAAAGTGCCTTGGGGGTCCAAGTGGACTAGATAAGGCGCTATACAAGTTCAAGCCATTTACCATCCAGCCAAGACTTATGAGGGACAAGCTGGGGCTGTCTGAAGTGAACCACCACCTGTGGATTCTGGACTACCTCATGGACCACCCACAGTATGTGAGGACACAGGGCTGTGTAGCTGTCTGAAGTGGACCACCACCTGTGGATTCTGGACCACCTCATGGACCACCCACAGTATG